GACATTTAAGGACTGGCAATGGAACATTCAAAATATGTTATCCATAGGATTACAGCACATACAAGGGGGAATGTCTCAGCTATCTGATTTATGAACGTGAATGACTGATTTTAAACATTAAATTATAGAAAATAAAAAAGAAATAGCTAAAATAGAAAAAGTCTTTTAAAAAGTAGAAGAAAAAAATGGAGACTTTGAATACAGAGCTGGTAGTGATACCACATGAAAAAAACAAGATGAAATCAACCTGCTAAAGTTACAAATGGATGGAGCCAACCTCATACTTAGATTCCAGAATCTTCTGGAACAAAAAACGTGAAGACACAGTGCAATTGGTAACTAATTTTAGCCCCACTTATAGAGATGTGACCAGAAGAAGTACAGCAAAATATAGATATAGCATGAAGAATTAATACAGCATGCACCAGGAATAATAAAATCCTCAGATAAATTCATGTTAAAATCATGAGAATGGTATTTTGAGAAAAAGGTCTAAGAAACATGCAAGATAAAGGAAAAGAAATTAAGGTATTGAAACATATCCTGTGGAAAATAAGACAGAAGAGGAGACAATATGCAGAGTTGACATATCTCCTGAGAACAAACTCAATTACATATGAGTGGTTGATACCTGAAGGTGTCTCTTTCCAATTCCAGTTGCAGAGAGATTCTGTTAATTCAACAATGAAGGCAGAAGACTTTATGAAAAAAAAGTGGGGGGGATGGTGGGGTAGGAAAGAAGAGGAAAAGACAGATGAGAAACAGGAAGAGGAGCAATCATGTGGGACATCAGGACCAAATTCAGAAGGAAGTTCAAAAGTTGAGCTAGAAGGCCAAATGGGAAGCGCCAAAGGAAAGCCCACAATGGAAAAAAGAGGATCTAAGAAGAGGAAAGAAAATGTTAATAGTAAAGATGAATAAAATGAGCCTCCAAGAAACTCATATTAAAAGAATAGATCAACATATATTAGAAAAAAACAAACAACTTAGAATGTTTTTAGCTAATATAAACAGTTTAAACTCAACCCAAAGATGTAAAAGAATTTATGAGCAAATACAGAAATTAAAATTAGACACTGTCTGCCTTCAAGATTTATTGTATGAAAATCAAGAACCACTTTATGAATTTTTTTAAATAAATGTTGGAAATGTAAAATACAGGAGGGTAATTCTAACCATGTTGGGTGGATAGGTAGGGAAGCAGAAAACTATTGGAAATTATTGGAGATTAGCATATGTAATGTTGAAAAAAATATTTTGTGAGATTTCATTTAAACTGGAATTGTGTTAATTGAGTATTATGTCTGCAATTGTAGATAAAGAACTGAAACATTTGATAATACACATACAGTAATTACTGTAGCTCGTATAGTATGGGAAACATTGGAAGAAAGCAGAAACACTGTCATCTTAAAAAGGACACAAAAATTTGGAATGATTTTATAGCTTGACTTGAAATATGGACTGGAAAGCATAGATAAAAGAAGAATGTGAAGTTCCAATCAGGGAATGGAGAGATTAGTAACTATAATAATTCTGGTAAAACCTGTTAAGATATTCTTTTTTATTACCTTTTCATTCTAGTAGAATTGTATAACTGGATGTAAAAGTACCCTCTTGCTCTATGGAATTTTACCCTTCCCTAGCCATGTCCATTTCCCCAGTGCCCTATCCCCAATCCTATTACCATTTTTAAATGAATTTTTTAAAAAACTCTTGATGAGATCCCTTCATCTGCAGTCTGGTGTGGAAAGATGCCTTAAAGCAACAATGGCTGAAGTGTTGTGGCTTGGAACTCAAGGTTTCTTACACCCTCAGATGCTGGAATAAATGTAAGCGTGGCTGTGGTAATTAATAAGAGATTTAGATCAAGATTCACCTTTTGCTGTCCAAGTTACTTTAACTTTAGTCTATAATCCTCTCATATCTAATTCTACATTACTAATCAAAGAGATGTAATTTAATTTAGACAGCCCTTTCTGGTAAAAATTAAAACCTGGATCTATCTGGATCTTATGTTATATATTCAGTCATAAATACTGAATGATAATAATGACCATCTTCTTTTCATTCAGTTTATATACAGGTTCCTGATTATCGTTCTAAGTGAACTTGAAGGAGAAATGATGGTTCCTTTACACGAGAACCATGACCTGAATCCTGTTTGTAGTCCCAACATGAGTAGATCCATTCAATCAGTGGGATTTGTGCAAGTCTTGAATCATTGCTCAATAATTGGTTCAATGGATCTACTCTAGTTGAAATTAACAACTGGGCTTACCTCTTTTGCTGCAGTTTATCAAAAGTTGGGAGCCTTCTGAAAACCAGATGGTGGCTTGGGGCTTTCAGTTGACCAATCCTGCCCTAATGGTTCTCAAGAACAACACAACTGAAACCCAGCTGTTTTTTGCACCAAGACTATGGCACCCCACTTAGACACCTATTGGCTAGATAACTTCTGATTCTTCTCCTTATCCTACAGTTTGATGACATGGCAAGACAGACCCAGAAGCACCATGAGGAGCTGAAAGGCATCAAGGGACAGATTGCTGAACTGACTCGCTATGCCCAACGAGTTAATGGCGAAATTGAAGCCTTGAAGAACCAGGTCAGCTACCTGACTCTTCACAAAAAAATCTATTCTTACCCAAAATATTAATAGAAGGTGATGGGGGGAATGCTATATAGAATACCAGGGATAACTCTGCCTTTTGATACCCCTAGAGGAGGCAGCTGCTTTAGGTAGCTGGCTTTAATAATAATAATAATTGTGTGCCATCAAGTCAATTCTGACTTGTGGCAACCCTTTTCAAAATTTTCCAAGGAGAAAATGCTTAGATGTGATTCACCATTCCCTTCTTCTGTGCAGTTTGTCCACATAGGCTGGCACAGAGGGGAATTGAACTCTCAACTTTTGGCTCTGCAGCCAGATACCTTACTCACTGAGCTACCCAGGCAGCTTAGGTGCCATTGAAAGGCTTCAAATTTTTATTTATTTTTATTTTAATCTTCCATTTGTGTGACCCCGAGTCCCAAAATAGAACAGCAAGGAGATGACCAATTTCTCCCCAATTGTCTGCAGATTTCTCTCTGGAATTCAAAATGAGGAGGGGAGGTTGGACAGGGAGAGGAAAAGAGGCAGCTTAAATATTGGAAGGGTGTTCCCACGATGCTTCAGCAAGAGGCTGCCTCTGCTGATGCACTCCAGCTGCTGCTTCTTGTTTACACCAGACTAAAACTGAAAACCGACATCTTTCCTCTCTCTCCTCCTTGTCCAGAGATCCAATCTGGAGAATGCTGTGGCCTTGGCAGAAGAACAAGGGGAAGAGGCTGTTCAAAGTGCCAAGAGCACCATTCAGGACCTGGAGGACGCACTGAGGAGGGCCAAGCATGACATGGCCAGCAAGGTGCGGGAATACCAAGAGCTGATGAACATCAAGCTGGCTCTTGACATCGAAATTGCCACCTACAGGAAACTGCTGGAAGGAGAAGAGAATCGGTAAGCAATGTTCCAGCTCCAGGAAGCTTTGAAGTTGAGGTTTTGTGAATCAGCTCACAACATGGTTGACTGCAGAGATTTTCAGAAGCGGGAAATATTGCTGCTGCTTGATCATATACATGCACACAGTTTATTTTGTGTAAGTGAAAACCAAGGTCCTGTAACACATTATTCTCTTCATCCAGAATGACTGGCCAGGCTCCAAGTCTTCAACTGAGTGCCATTGACAAACTAGGTAAGTATATTCCTTCCTCTGATTGGTGCATGGCCCTTCTGAATAGCAGTAGACATATCTATTTCAAGGCCGTGGTTAAAAAAAAACAGTGCGGGGCTTGCTAATGCCACTAAACTATTCTATTGCCTTCCTTCCTCTGAAGACTTCTGAGAACACAAGGGCTTCATCTTTTCTGCACTGGTTCCTTCTGAGTGTCTCAAGATTTCTAGGTCTCTCCTGCCATGATTTTAGCCATATCCAGACTAGAACACACATTGGCATCTGAACTGTTCCCTCAGATTTCTTCTTTGCCAGTAGTAACGTTGCACAACCCTGCAGGTTTAATAACATTGTTGCATATTTGATATCTGTATTTGAATTCTAATAACACTTGATTTTAACACTTGATACTTGCAGTCTCATATTGGACAAAATCCAGCTGGCCTTACTCCATTGGTAATCTCGGATGTGAATTGCTGCAAATTAAGAAGTCATCGTCGGCATTTTCTGTGCTAAGTCTCATGAATGGTGTGCAGCAGCAAATGCTTACACTGACTTCTTAACATAGGACAATTCACAGTTGATACTGATGAAGTTATACCAGCAGGTATAACTAACAGGTTTATGGTCACTGTAATTCTGTAGTTCACACATTTTCTGGCAGTATAACCAGGATTCCTTTTGAGAAATCCTGATGCCTTCCAGTCTCTCATTTACTATCATCCAACCCTATTTCAATTTTAAAAAAGAAAGAAAGAACTCAGTTTGCTATTTTAAATTAAAAACAAACACAAATGCTTAGTTTAATTCTGTAGTTCACACATTTTCTGGCAGTACAGCCCCTTTTTGGCTTTGGAGAATGTTTGCTATTTTAAATTAAAAATAAATACAAATGCTTAGTTTAAAAACCCTTTAGAATAGAACAGAGCATAAAGAGTTTTTCGTTTTATGCACTATTGGGAATGTAAACTACTTTTAGAATTAGCAGAAACAAAACAAATAAGGTGAAGACTGAAAGAAACTCCCAGCCTTGCACCTCCTTAGAATACGTTCACATACCCCAGGTGGCACACAGATGCACACACATCCCAGTTTGGAAACCAGTGCTAGCACAGACTATGGTGAATTTGTGGCAATTGAGATTTTGTAGGACTCAAGGTTCCATCAGCTTCCACCAGAACAGCCAGTGGTTAGGGATGATAGTATATTTCATCAACATCAGGAGGCCCACAGATTCCCTACCTTTGCTCTAGAGTTTTGTGGCATCTGGGCTTGCTATCCTTGCTCCATCAATCAGTCTCTGCTTAGATGAACATCTACTTATCTGATGTGGTCAGCTGTCTGTATTGGCCACCTTTCTATCTGCCCCTTTCTGCCTCTGAAAATTTATGTAAATCACTTTATTAGCAAAATGGCTCTTTGGTCTTCCAGCTCCTACAGGTCTCTGCTTGCTAATGTGGCTGGATCAAATCAAATCAAACCCTTCCTTCCTTCCTGAATCACTTTGGGAAGCTAATCAGGAGCCTCTTCCTTAAAGCCACCCTTCTTTGATCTCTCGACCTAGATTTCTAAATCCATCCATTGCTTATGCAGCTGGGCACCTGATGCAGAAGGAGATGCTGCCTTCCCCCACCAGGGCCACTGGAACTGTCTTGGCCTCCAGCAGCTCACTGAAGAGGCCCTTGCTTATCAAAACCATTGAGACCAAGGATGGGAAAGTCCTTTCTGAGGCCAGCCATTTCACAGAGAAGTAATTCTAGCAGAACTAGCCAGTCGAGCTTGATTTCTTTGGAATAAATATCTGTTTTAACATCTCTGATTCATAGTGACTTTCTTTGCACATCTTACTTATCTTTACTTCTCATGTAATGGTACCTTTTGTCAAAGTTACCATAGAAAGCCCAGCAATAATAGCCATTGCTGGTAGAGTTCATGTGCATGTATGTGCCTTTCCCTTTCGGCATGCCTTACTGGAACACCCAGGAATACTTCTCTTGGCCTCAGTTTCTTACACAAATTCTGAGAAGCGGCTCTGTGCACTTAAGCCTTTATCTTCAAGCCCCATCTTCCTTTCATGTTCATGCGTCATAGCTTTGTTCTTTGCAGGAGGTTCTAGCCTTTCTAGATAATGTGTACGAAGAAGTCTGCCAAGGACGCACATTCTTGGACAGCAGTGGGAGAAGAAATGGAGATGTCAAGCTAAAAAATATAAGATTCATGCCACATGGAGGGGGGTCTGGAGAAGAAACCAGGAAGAGGCTGAAGAGAAGGGGCGTATAGCTACATGTGGACTTGGCAGTATTAATTTTGTTGTAGCTCATATAGGACAGTTCAGTGTGGTGTAGTGGATCAAGTGTCAGGCTTGAACTCCAAATGCCTGGTTTCAAATCCCAGCTCTGCCATAGAAGTCTACTGGGGAAGGAAGTGGCGATGGTAAAACCATTCTTTGAATGCCTCCCATACTTTGAAAGTTCTGTCAGGTTCCTGTAAGATGGAAATGATTTGACGGCACATAATAACTCAAAAAGCAGCATGTATAAAAGATCAGTTGTGTAGTAAAGTATCCACTTTGTTGTGCTCCACTGCAGCCTTTCCTGACATGAGTCTGATGGAAGGGAATTGTGATAAAACAACTTCTAAAGACCCAAGTGTGACAAAAGATGTGTCTAGTATGACAGCTAAACAGAACCCATGTAGGAGCAATGATACCTTGTATGAAGGAAGTCAATGGCTGTGATAACTGACAACAAATATTTAGAAAAGGAGAAAATATCTCCTTTCTGGGGGAAAAATGGAGCTACCTGGGTGAATTGACCTCCCATCACAGCAATATGCCTCCACACAGACTTTTTTTCCTGTACAAATGAATATGCTATTCACTTTGGGGGGCAAAGTTTGCATACAAGGTCACTGATGGAGTGGGAGTAGATCATACCCTTCTGGTACTGAAGATTGTCATAACAATCTTGATAAGAAAAGTTGGAACTGAGAATCTGCAAAGCACAACAGTACATCATGAGCATTTAACATGAAAATCCTTTCTTGGATTTTGGTCAATTCCTCTGTCTGAGCCAATCCCAGGCATCTGGCATTGCTAACCACCCCTCCTGCCAGTCCTGTGTCAGTTAAGATGGGACTAGTCCCACCCCTTCGGAGAAAAATAAGCTACAGTTTGTCCTTAAAAGGCAAATTGGCAGTTCTCAAGATGGGAGTGTTGCATGACATTGGCCTTTGAGAGGAACAAGACAATGTCCGTAGGGTGACACACAAGATATTTAATATTAGCCTTTGTTTTGAAAGGTCACATGCTTTAAGGACATAGCCTCTTTTACACAAGATTAAACACCTGGAATGGCCATCTCCCTTTTCTGAACAGAACAGAAATCTGCATTATTTCCCCCCACTAAAAAACCAACAACCCAGGGGACTGGGTAGAATTTATCCCATAGAGTCATACTGGTTCCCTCACAGTGACTCACTGGATCCTACTGCCCAGATTTTCTGCCCTACTGCTTCTCCCTCTAATAGAAATCCTGGCTCTGAGATTTGAGACCAAAGCCTTCCTAGATCACCATGAACTTACAACAAGAACTTGTGTTGGAATCTTGGTAACATCGAATTTAACTGATTAAATGCTTCATGTCTTTTGAAACTGGGCCAGAATTTTTCTCCAGCTCAGACAGGAGCCCATGATTCTGGCACAAAGGCTGTCTCGTGCCTGCAGGGGCTTGTTTGATCTTCTGAAACCATATGGAGTAATGTGGTGGGTCTTCTGCAGATGGTTAAACTGAGGAAGGGGAAAGAAGTGGCTCTGTGGCTGTTTCTGTCTGTTAGAACAGAGGTCCCCAACCCCCTCTGGTGCCAGTCCATGGCCTGAAACAGACAAGGTTACAGAGACAGACCTCACCCCCATGTACTCCCCCATGCACAGCCTGTTTGTGCCTGCACAAGTGCAAGCACACCTGCACGAGCGCTGCCCTGCCCTTTGCGCATGTGCGGGGGGGTGTGTGTGCCTCGCCTTCCCCAGCCAGTCTGCAGGGCTAAAAAGGTTGGAGACTGCTGTGTTAGAACACAGGCAGCATCCTCTGAAGATGCTGGCCACAGAGACTGGCGAAACATTAGGAAGAAAAACCTTCAGAAGACGGCTGAACAGCCTGAGAAACCTAGAACAACAATCAGATCCCGGCCATAGAAGGCTTTGAGAATACAATAACTGTCACCTTTGGGTGGTGGCCCCACTCACTGCTGGGTTCAGCTTCTCCCACCATCACTGATTTGGAGGACTTCAAGAGATCATCCCCTATGCAAAAGGATTTCTCACTTCTCTAAATGGATCAGGAATTCTTTGCTCTCTGTTGCTCAGTCATATTGTAGAAGTTGCTTCTCTACTTAGATCTTCAAGAAGAGGGTGGATTGTACTGGAGAAGGGAAAAACCTGTATCAGAGTAACAAATCATCCCTATGTTCAATTAACTGCTTCTTGTGCAGTTAAATAACAGAATGTGATGCAATGTACACGCACACAGTTTAAGATGCTAGCCAGCTTTTGACCTATTTAGGCCAAACACTTTTGAGCAAAATTGGGAGGGAAAATCCACAAAGCTGTACTCTGTGTTTGAGATGAGATAATTTTTATTTAATTATTTTTAATTCAATTTTTAATTTGGAAACCCATTTCACAATGGGGAGACGAGTTCCAAGCTTTCTTCATGGTCTATGGATGGGGACAAATCAGTCTTCTCCTTGTCACTGTGTTCTTTCTGAGAGGCAGGGAGTACAGTGCCTTGCTGGCTCTTGATCCACTGGGGGTTGGTGAGAAAAGTTCCACCCACCCACCCCGCTCTGTAATCCTATGGGCCATGGCAACTGGAATTTGGAACCAAATAAGTTGATAATGAAACTGCATTGAGCTCAAAAAGTAGTCAAATTTGCCCTCAGTGAGCAGGAGAAATAACTCAAGATGAGTTGTTAGGATTGAATGGCTCAACAAACTACACTGCAGAAGAGATCTGGTAGCCTGATATAGACCTCATTTCCTTTCAACTCAAATTTTACCGCGCAGAGTCTCACTGGGAGGAACTGCTCAGTTTTATAAGTGAACCCAATCACAATGACGCCCAACATAGGGCAGTTCTGATGGCAGGAAACCAGGAACACAAATGGCTACAACACACTACAGAAAGATAAGAGAAACTAATGGAAATCTTGGTGGAACAGCAGAAAATATCAATGGGACCAGTCTTGGAAAAGGAAAAAGAAAATGATGAAGAAAAAGGGAACATGAGAAGTATGTGGGTAGCAGGACCAGTGCCTATACACATTCAAAAAATGGGACCCGACAATGATCCGGAGGTGTATCTACACACCCTTGAGAGGGTAGCCACAGCCATGGGGTGGCTTAAAGAACACTGGACACTCATTTTGACACCATGCCTCACTGGAATATTGCAAGAAGTAGTAGACAACTTATCACTGGAAGAGGCCACGCAGTACGGGATGGTAAAATCGGCTATTTTAAACACACTCAATTTGATGGAAGAAGCTTACTGCAAATGGTTTAGAGCAGGGGTTTTAAACTCAATTTACCTGGGGACCGCTGGAGACAGAGTCTGGGTGAGGCTGGGCCGCATCAGATTTTCGGCCAAGCGGAGCAAGAACCCGAGGAAGCCGCCCAGGAGTTTCCTTAGCCGACAGACAGGTGGGCCGGCTGGCAGGCTGCAGTTCTGGATGGAGGGTGCAAGAGGTGCTGTCTTGGGAGAGAGCCGGCGAGCGAGGCAAGCCTTTTTTTTTTTACTCTTGACAGCAGAGGATGTGTGGGTGCTTTGGGGGGAGCAGGCAGGGCGAGGGCCACAAACTATCATCTGGGGGGCCGCAAATGGCCCCCGGGCCACATGTTTGAGACCCCTGGTTTAGAGAATTAAAGATGTAACCTGGGATTTATCCTTGACCGTTAACTCAAAGGATGAAAGCCAATTTAATTAGATGGTTGAAACCCAAACAGAAAACAAAAGATCAACTCTTAGATGTGCTAGTTATGGAACAGTTGGTCATAACCTTGGGGAATAATTTGAAAAGCTGGGTGCAAAAGAATCATCCGAAGTCTTTGGAGGAGGCTGTCTGCCTAGTGGAGGATTTTTGTAACATGGAAGAATATGGACAAGAAAACTCCACCCTTTTTCTAGAGAAAACCAGAGGGCAGGACAAGATGGCAACAGGGAGTTCTCAGGGTGCAGTTCCATGAGGACCTTTCAACCCAAATGCATTGCAAGGAGGACATGGAGGTGGCTTCGAGTCAGGAGGAGCATGACCAATAAGACCAATCACCGTAGACGCGAGAGTGTTTGAGACACCAAACAGTTGGTGAGGGAGGAGAGACAAAAGGTATGTTTGTTTCAGCTGCGGACTCGAAGGACACCATTGGTGTGAGTGTCCAGGCATTGACTGCTCATGGGTTGTAATGGTACAAATGAACCAGGAAAAATCTAAATAAAGTTAATTTGAATGGAATCACTATCATAATGTCCATACTTATAATAATAATGTGCCATTAAATCAATTCTGACTTACAGCAATGTTTTCCAGGGTTTTCCAGGTAAGGAATACTCAAAAATGGTTCACCCTTCCCTTTTTCTGGGGACACCCTGGGACTTTGCAACTTTCCCAAGGCCATGCAGGCTCACTCTGCTCATAGGAGGCATTTTTGTGGTGAATCTAACTCCACAGCCGGATACCAAAACCACTGAGCTATTCAATCAGCTATAGTATCCATACCTATGTGTATTTATTTGTATTGCTGAGACTGAAAAGTCACTGCTATTCTGCTGGGACTTGGGCATTCGTACAGCAAGTGCTGAATGCTGAATGAAAACAGGAGAGTCGTACACCCCTTGCTCTAGAAACTCTGCCACCTGACTTTTTAATTTGGGAGTCAGCATTTCTGGCTGAGGCCTGGGCTGTTTAGTTGTCTTTCTGTGTGAAAACCAGAAGAATCGGCAGACCTTTTAATGTAACTTTTTTTCCTGACAGTGACACTTATTTACCTATCTAAATGTGTGTGTTCTTGTTGGCAGATATCTGTGTCCTCCTGTTCTGTCCTAGAGGGAGGTCCTGCCATCTCTTTCAATGAGACTGCACTGCACCTTCTGATAAGGCCACTAGGAGGCACTTGAGCCCTGAAGGAGTCAAAGCTTGCCCACAACTGCCAGCCACTTGGAAGGGGTGTGGCCACACAGAATCTAGGAGGGAAGCAGTGTCTCACTATGCTATGATAGCAAGAGACTTCGACCTGCCCTGGAGATGAGCTTTTCTTGGTGCTGCTAGACTCTTCGGTTCTTTCTGCATGGCCAGGGATCATACCACAGAATCTGAAAATGAGCTAGCTCTTGCCATGGGGACGCTCATTCAAGAAGGATCTGAGAAGGTCTCATTCACTCTACATTAGTGGATGCCATGGGAAACGGTGCCACATGAACTCTGCACATGGCTAGACAAGGTGGACCAACCCATAAAAGGTTAGTGAATGCCTCTCAGACATTTTATTTTCAGAAGGAGGGAAGGAACAAGTAAATTAATAAACTCAGATAAGAGTAGGTTGCTGTACTGATTTAGATGCCTCTCCATTTATGCACGTGTGTGGAGTACATCTCCCTGTGAAGCCAGCATGGACAGCCTTCCGTCATGATCCTACACATATCTACAGAGATGCAAGTCTCACTGAGTGGCCTATTCCCAAAGTGACCAGATACAGGATTGCAGTTTTATTCATTCTGCACCATGGAAAGTGTAGGATCTTAGTAGCATTCTTTCCCTTTCAGCAAGCAAGGATACTAAGGGCTATCAAGGATGGCTGTTAAGGAAATTTACAATTGACTAACCCTGATCACTGGTACTCTGTGGGTCCCTGTACATGGACTTTCAAATGGTAATACTTGGAACTGAAAGGGCCAGGATATATAAGGCAGCAGTCTTGTACCAACTTGCTTGGAAGTGAGTTCTACTTAATATACTTACTTCTGTGCTGACCTGCTCTCTATATATACTGTATTCAAAAGTGCTCTCTCTCACACACAAATGTACACACGTGCAGATTCCTAAGTTTTCTAGGAACTTTCATTTTTCTTTAACAAGAACAAATTTGGTATCCTGCCTGCTTAACTGTAACAAATATTTAACCATTTTGAAATGTAAGATTTCTGGTGCTCCAAGTTTCACTCGCTGCTAGGAAAGTGAAGAGGGAATGATACTGGACCTCTGGCACCCCCACTTGCCAGAAACGTAATCCTCCTCTCTCTTCAAACACAGACATTCATGAATATTTCCCTCTGTTAGTAATTTGTTTACAGGTTAAGTGGCACTGAAGCTTGCAAATAGTATGTTAACCCTTGACATAACGTCTTCTAAAACTCTCTTGTCTTCATCTGAGCATGCATCCATTAGTGTGACAATCAGCCCCATACTTATATGTAGCATTAAGATAGAATCAAAATTATTTCTCTGCCCACTTATGTTTCTCTCAGTTCTCTTCAGTCAACTACCTCTTGTCCTAAACAACATGAGAGAATATTGTCCCCTGTTACACGTGGCCCCTGCCTTGTACATGAACAAGGCTGAGACATTACCTAACTGGGTAGTAGATTGTAGATCTTAGAACTGCAGAGCTGGAAGGGACCCTATGGATCATCGAGTCCAGCTCTTGTCAGGGAGGCACCGTGGGGAATCGAACTCCCAACCTCTGGCTCCACAAGACCTAAACTACTCAGCTGTCCAATAGTTCTACACATGCTGATTTCATTCACAAGAGGATTCGCTCTGTACGGTGCCCAATGGAATATATTTATTATTTTACTTATTTAAAATATTTTCACCCCACCTTTCTCTTTAAGAAGGACCCAAGGTGGCTTACATCATTAAACGACAATATTTAAAGCTAAAAACAGTGAGTATTCAAATATTTTAAAAAAGATCAAGCAAATGCGACATTAAAAATTGTAAACAAAGTCAATACACATTCAAAGCAGTAAGGAAAAACAATCTACAGTACTTTATTTAAAAAAAAAACCAAATCTGCCGCAAATCTTTTACACAATCATTAGCTATCCATGTGATGGTTGGATAAGGACGCAACACAACAAATGCCCTAAGAAAGTGCTCACAAACTGGGTGTGTGTGTTTATGTGTCTGTGTTAAATTTTAGCATCCTGTCTCTAGCCTTGAATCCCCAGATGATATCCTGCTGCAGTTCTCATCGTTGCTGACCAGAGGCCATGTCCTTTGTGTCAGCATGGTGGATTGGTAGTGCAGGGGAATCAAGCTCAAGGGAAAGTCATGGAGACTTTCAAGAAAGGCACTTTACTCTTTCTCCTCAACCTTGGCCTTATTTTTTTTCTGATGCAAATTCTGAAAAAAAAATGCTCAAGGGGGGGTTTCTTCTGAATTGAAAATAACAATCCAATTTACTTTTAAATCTACAAAGTGTTATCCAGTTCTTAGAAAATAATAGTTTTAACAGTGTAAGAAGCTGGAACTTTTGTCTCTGGATAAGTAGCATTTTGTTTCACTCGTGTCATGCTTATAGTCCTCAAATTCAAAGTCTCTCTCTCTCTACAGGCCCCGTTTCCTTTGCCTTCAATTCTCTTGAGAAAAGCCACAGGGCCCCTCAGTAAGGATGGCTACTGCTGGCAATTATGTTACAGTAATAGCTTAATTGACTTGTGTTATAGACAACCAGATGGTTAAGAGTCTTCCTCTAATTGCTGGGTGCCTCTTCTTTATGAGCTTGTTAGAATAACATTCCTGCTCCCTTTTAGCAACTATTGTTGGTAGAGCAACAGCAGTGGCAGATAATGTTGTATATTTTCCTTCCTTCCTTCCTCCTCCCACCCCCTTGCCCCCAAGTTCATGATGCTTCTACACCATGAGTTTGCAGCAGTTGCTCTGCAGCCACTGACCTGTTGTCACGTTGGGTGGAGCTTTAAGAGGGATGGTTCCTAACATAACCCATCAAAAGGTTACTGGGCAGCTATTTTGTCTCTCCCGCCTTTGTGGATGTACTTGGTTAGCAACAAAACAAAAAGAGGAAGGAAGCATTAGAAAAACACAGCTGAATTACAATTGGAAGAAAACATTTGCTACTCCATTCCCTGGTAAAATCCCATGAACCAGGCAAGGCAATTGCATCTGGAAGCTTCTTCAGGAAGCTCATTTTCTAATCTAAAGCAAACAATAACAGCCAAACTTTGGGAGGTTCTCCAGCCTTGTCTGGATCTGGACATTCTCTGTGTATGTTCCCATATACACATCCCTCATGGATGGGTGCTCAAAATCTGGTCTCTAAGCCTTCAAATGCAAATTTTGTATGACAGTATGTTATCTTTCAAAAATAAAAAAAACCCAACCCTCCAAAATCTGATTCCCAAATCCATAACCCTCACATGGCAGGAAGGTCAAAGGTCAAATGCACTATAGAGTTCACAAGGGTGAGAAGGTCTCAGCAAATGAAGTCATTGTGTCTTACTCATTTTATTACTCAAGACCAGGAATCTCTATTGCTGAGGATTGTAATGGTCCTTGAGAGGTTGGTCAGTTTTTGGTATGCTTGCAGAGTCAGACCATAAATTTTGGAAAAACCTTCTCCTCCCCCACGCCCCCTCCCCTGCAGCCTGCTGCAAAGAGTATTTCCAACCCAAATTGAAACACAAGAGTGTTTCTTCAGTTATGTGGAAGCATCTGGTTTTAAACCACAGCAGTGACATTTTTCTTATTCATTCATTGGTTAAAGAAAATCTTACACAGCACTCCAGTGCCTTAGAATCTTTTTTTTTCTAAAACCACTTTTTGAAAGTTCCAGAATCCTATTCTGAAGTTTAAAAGCTGCACCCATATATGCCAGCAGTGAGTAATTTGTGCCACTCGATGGTAGTTGGAGTGAAACTGACCAGTCCTAGCTGTTTTAGCCAGTGGTAAGGGATTATGTACAGCAACATGGAGTGGGGGGCACTGTTTGGGTGTATCTTTTCCAGAGTTTGCTATGGGACCCCATGGCTGTCCGCAGGCCTCAGCAGGCAAGACACCAATTCCATCTCTAGAAGCTGTGCACTTGTAACTGGAAAAGAGTGTTTATTCTAACACAAGCTTGCCTCAGTTCACATCTGGCATGCCTGTGGGGTTGTGTTTCGTAACTGTTCACTTGGGAGATAGCACCATTTTGTAAATCTTTGGCCTGCAGTGCTGAAAGGTTTGCACTTGTGAAGAGATAATATTGTAAGATAGGGAAATATGCCTTAGCCTTAGTGTGTCATCTGACCAGAGTCCTCTAAAAAATGAAGAGGCCAAGGAGAGCTGCAGCTTCCTCTGCAGTGCACCCAATTAAATTTACAAGAAAGAAAGAAAAAGAGTCACTGCCTTTTCCTGGACAGGAGAGAAAGTTTGCTTGTTTGTTTGTAGTTAATAGCATAATGGCAGAAAAGAGTGGATGAATTCCTGTTCAAGGCACAGGGCACATGCCATTGAAGGGAACAGGCCTCCCAGCCTGAAGGGCCCTAAAACGCCACCCAATGATCCAGGCCTAACAAGATCAGCAGCCTATTGAAATATATTGTTTTTCACAGTTAATAGATTTTGCCATGACCCCACTGCTGGACTTCACAAGTTACCAAATAACTGGATCTTATTGACACAACACCAGTTTCATGTTCTGCTGCATCATGATTACTCAGTTTTTCTCAGCTGGAGTGATTTCCTGACCTTCTGATTAATTGATCAATAGCTAATAAATGCGACAGTGTCAGGGAAATCACTGTACAAACTGCACTCACAATTGTTTGGACAGGCAACGTAATTGCCCAACTACCTTTCCTTTGTTTTTCTTGAACAATGACACTGAGTGTTTTCTCATTTCTTTTAGGAAGTCCGTTTTAGAAAGAAGATGGAGCAATCCGATGGCCAAGCAAAGAACAAGACACAAGAGCTCCTTATAGCCTGGCTCTCCCAGCCCCTATCTGTCATCATTATTCTGGCCAACATCTTCCTCATCTTTGGCATCCTCTTCAACCGCAAGCTCCATGGCACCACCAACTGGTGCTTCCTCAGCCTACTCTTTGCTGATCTGCTGGCTGGGTCTGCCCTTCCATGTATTCCTAAACTTGCAACTGAGATGAATCTGAAATATTATCCTTGCTTCTTCACCTACCTGACACCTAACTTCCTTTTCCTCTGTTTATTAGCCAACTTGCTGGTAGTGCACTATGCCAAGTATGTGTGTATCATCCACCCGTTGCACTACCAAGCTTCCTGGGTGTATCGGTGGGCTTTTCTCTATATACTCCTGGCCTGGACTGCCCCTTTGATCTTTGCGTGTCTACCACTGGTTTGGAACCAATGGGGAACAAATAAAAACTGTTCCTTTAAATCTGTCTTTCCCAAGCCATACCTCTACCTAGAGACGTATGGGTTACTCATTCCTTCCATTCTTGCCATGTCCTTTATGTGTATCCAGATCCTGTGGATTGCCCGAAAGCATTTGAAGGACATTAAGAACCTTCTCCATTCAGTGACTCAAAGCCAGGCCCCTTCGGAGCTGGAACAGCAACTGGAACTGAGGAATGTCAAGAGTATTGCCAGTGCATCCATCATCTTCTTGGTCTGCTGGGTGCCCTACATTGTTTGCTTGAATATCTCTCTGCTAGCTACCACGCCGAGTGTCAGCCAAACCATTCGCACTATTGTCACCTGCATAGGCACTGGCAGTGCAGCTGCAGTACCCATCATCCTCAGTTTTGGCAACCACCAGTACACACAGTTTTGGAGGGACTTGGCCACCAAAGTCTGTCAGGGCTGCTGCCAAAGATGGAGGTGCAAGCAAAAGCAGGCCCAGCTAAATGCCAGCATGCCACGTGAGAATATTTGCATGAGAGAGGCACACCTAAGAGAGGCACCAGGATGACACCTTTTGGGGGGGATGGGTATAAAGTCATCAAGCCCTTCCCAGCAGCATGGAAAGCCAGGGCATAAAAGGAACTGAGTGCCCATCAAAGTGGACTTAATGCAGATCTTTGAGTCACTTTTTTCCCTATAAGCCTGGTGGCTAAATAACAGATGGATTTCTTGCCTCTAGATGGAGTCTCCGGGAGGAAATCAAATTTTTCAGTAATAAGCATTCCTTTTGTGTTGATCCGACACCATAATAAGAGATAAACCAGGTTGTCCCATCAAGGATCTATCTAGTTTCTTCAAGCTATCTGAACTTAATATGGCTTGATTCAACAGAATCCTCAGGATTTTTATTCTGTGGTTAGCTCTCACCTAGGTAGAACTAGTGCTTTATATGGTGACTTGGGCTCTCTGGCATTAATAACAAGAACATTGAGACAGGTTTGATAATGGAGTTTGAAAATGTTACATATTGGGACAATAGCTTCTAGAATCTCTAAACAAGTATGTCAGTGAAAGTTATCAGTCCAAAAAAGTAACTTTCCCCATGTCTTGCTTGTATTGGCCCCCTGGAGAAGTTGCCTTCCATCAGACTAGGAAACAATACAGAATGTGATAGAACCACATCAGTTCATAGCATCATACAGAGTGTCTCTATTATTCTTTTTGTGGGGTGATGTAGAAAAGACCCTTGTGCTTTATGACTCCACATTTATGGAGGTAGCATTTCACTAGTCTTAAAGCTACAAAAGCACCTAACATCTGCCTTACAATTCTTCTTCAGCAAGCTTGGCATCTGGAGTTAAAAATGAAGTGTGAGGTTTTTGCTGTTTTATGTTTCCTTTGAAATAGGGGATGTATAAGTATTGGAACACAATTAATTGGATAACTGTTGTATAACAATTGTTGGTGAAAGGGAGAATCTGAAACACAAGCAGTAGATTTGATTAAACGAAGCCTATTTCTGTGAACGGATGAATTTGTAACTTGTTCATTTGAAATCTCCTATTTTTACAAGGGGTTATATTTGGGCCTTTTCTACTGACTTTGTACATTTTACTTTGATGTCATGGAATGTTTGCGTAAATATTATTATATTAAAAATGACTGATCAGACTACATTACTGATATACTGTAATCAGATCCTTCCACCACAATCAACGGCATAGCCTATCTTTGCTCTCATTTTTAGATGCTGCATGTAGACTGGCAAAACCAGTGGGATCCAGCAGTGCCTTACCATATCCTGATAAGGACAACCCACCAATGTTGGCTGAGAGCCATCCTGGATTTATAGGCAATGGGTTTTGCTGCATTGTTTGCTCCAAGGAGTACATTAGCTGTTCCTGATCCCACTGAGCTGAGATGATGAGCCCATTCTCTCCAGCATTTGACAGATGAGAACTCATAAATGTTCCATTAAGGAGCAAACTGCCTTCAGGAGATGCTGGGCAGGAGAGTGCTGGCTAGCACACCCTGCAAGGGGAAATACCAGGCTTGGATCACACTGCTTTACAGAACACTCCTAGGACACAGCTGTTGCTGCGAAAAGCAGCAGTTCATTCAAAAACCTCAAATAAGATTACAGTATATGAGTAGTGGAGATCACAAGATATGGGGTGCGGAAGTTTCAAGCTGTAGCAGCAATGCAAATGGATCAAGCCTTCAAAAAGTGTTGCTCTTTTCAGCATGCAAATCATCTATGTTGGTGGATCTCTTTTATCTGTGGCTTCTGAGAGTTCAAATCCAAAACAACTGGTAAACAAAACCAATGAACTATATTAAGTGGAGGAAGAGACCAAGACGAGGATGTGGTCAGCCAGATGTTTCTTCCCCTTCTTAATGATACTGGAATTAAGGACCTAGCAAGGGAGGGGCTGTCTTTAGAAAAGAACAATCACAGCCTCTTGATTATGATAATTGATGAGGCTGTGTGAGCAACACTTACTGGAAGAGATCAGACAGAAGGGAAACACAGACAAATACAGTAACTTTAGTGTGAAAAATGCTTGGACCCTGACTGGGTCTGGGAGTTCAGAGAACTGCACTGCCATTCAGAGCAAATAGTACTGTACTTGGCGGATGAATAAATAGTCTGATCCAATATAATGTAGTTTCTTAATTTCTAACATGAGGCTTTTTACAGTTATCTGGAAACAGCAACTCTCAAGCCCTTCTTCGTGTTTATAACAGGTTAGCTCCACACTGTGCTGCTATCAAGTTATCATATATAGACCTTTTCCATGCCATGGCTGATAAATGTGGCATATTTCAGTGCCTTCAATGTGCAAAAAATCCCACCACTTCTGCTCTTTCAAAGATGGTCTCTGATGTTTCTGAACTGTATGCAAAAATGCTGAAGAGCTGGTACCAGAATATCTATCTGCAAGGGGAAGTAGGCTGGTGTAATTATAGCCTGGTTGAAAGAAAGGTAACGTGGAACTAATCAGTTTTCACCCCTTTGGTTTCCTGCCCAGTTCTATATCTAACAACAGGATCAAGCAAACATGAACCAAAACCAGCATTTTTGTTTCCAAATCATGTACTATCGATTTTAAGTTTCATACTCTGGTTTAGATGCTAGCTCCCATCCCTCAGCCTGACAATGATGGATAGATATATGGACTGGCTGAGGTCACACTGGCCTTCCAGTCTCATATTGTAACTATTTAAAAGTTCAGTTCTAGACTGTGAGAGGGAGGCCAGCCCTTTCCCAAGCCCACGCTGTTTACATTTGAAAAACAGCATGCATCAGAGAAATATTTGCGGTTTATATTTCAGGAAACAAAAAGCAGAATCAGGAATGACCACTTACATAACACTGTGAAACAAAATTAAGAAAAGATTTTTTTCCAGAAAGATACAAGCATCATATTGGCTTAGTACCATAACTAAAAAGAAAAGAAAAGAAAAGCTGTTCCCTCATTTTCACAAAAATTGCCACAAAACACATTTCTAGCACACTTAACAGTAAGATTACTCTCTGTGGTAAATTCACAGTGAGACTAAAATATTCTAATTCCTAGTTACACCACATAATACAATTCCAGATCAGTATTCTATCCTGTACACAGTATGATTAGGCTCACGCAGAAAAATCCCAGTGGCCACTACTAGACACACCTGTCAAAGAAAGAAAAGGCAAAAATCCAAATAGAAATAATCTTTTTTAAGAAAACAGCAAGCTAATTTGATTAATAATCCAAGTATAAACTGCTGCAGATTGAAAATGAGTTCCCTTGGTGGGTTCTAAATGGGCACTGGCATTAGAATAAAAACCTTGAAATCTGTGTTGATGACTTCAGGACTTACTATAACCATAGTGTTTTGTACGCATGAAAGGCACGCCAAACATAAAATGCAATTAAGGAATTAAAAACCACCACCAGAGCAGCACTTTGGACCTGGTTCACGCTGACATGGCCTGCACTGGATCTCTCTGTACAAGGAGCCTGGCATCAACACATGGCACGCTGGAGCAAGAGCCGGAGCTGAGGCCTCATCATGACAAGGAGGCCTGCTGGCAGCGCTCACCTTGGTTTCTCCTTCTAAAAGAAAAATCTGGAATGATGCCCCTGGCAGTACACGCAGGGGGCAATTCAGCTACGAAAGCAACTGTCCCCAGAGTTTCCAATGCTTCTTGGCACATTCTGATGGGCAAGCATAAAGGACAAGAGGCAGAGCATCCCACCCAAAGATACTTTGCCCCCTGCCTCCCCCCACAAGGCCTTGATGAACGGCAATTGAAGGCTGACCAAATATTTCACATTAAAGGGCCATTTTTTCAATCCTTTTTCTTTTAAATACTTCCTGCCCTTACTCCCAAGAACCAAATATTCTAGCACAAGTGGGGAAGGTGTTCTGTTTGCGCTTGGAAATCCCCTGTAATTGGAAAAGCCCTCCTACATACAGAAAACTATAACAACGGTATGCAGACTGAAGTAGAACCTTCTCTCCAAGCATGCCAACAGTTTGGGAGAGGATGCATTTCCATGATGTGACATTCAATAATGCCACCTGCCCCCCCCCAGCAGTAGTACAGTCCATTCTTTTTAAACCATCCCTACACTATGTGAACTGCACATTGGCCAGATGATATGTTGCGTTGGCTGTTGGTTGTGCATTCGTCAAAGTGATTTGAACTTTTTGAAAAGGAGATATATAATTTACAGGTCAAAATTGCAACTCTTCTGTTTGGCCCCTAATAGCAGATCATTGCTTCATGAAAAAGCAGACTATTGTCGCTATTTTGCCCATTTAATAAAACCAAAGGATCTTGTCTTTCTGAATAATCAGATTTTGAAATTGGCCAAGGAAACCATTCCCATGGGGTACTCTTAAAAAATCAAAAGTCAATCCATGTGAAAGGAAAACAAGCACTGGATGGTTACCAAGGAAATGCTTCTTTCTTGCACCCTGTAGTTCTCAAGTGGCAGTATCAAAATATGCATGGAAGGACCCTAAAGTGGAACTGTGTGCGTTATATGCCATCAAGTCTCATCCAACTTATACCCTTCAAAAAGATTTTCAAGGTAAATGAATATTTAAGGACTGGTCTTACCAGTTTCACCCTGCCCTCCCCCCACGATTTTCCATTCCTGAGCAAGGATTAAACCCAGGTCTCCAGAGTCTGCCATGCCATCCACTGTATCATTCTGAACAGACAGTGAAGAGGAACTATATGGACTCATTTAGGACTGTATTTCAGAGAGATGGGGAGTGTCCCTCACTCACAGATGATGCTAGCAAGTTGCAGCCTCTCTGTACTTGGAACAAAGGGGAGGGAAACTAACCCCACCCCTACTGGCAATGGCATCAAGGGGTGCAACAGGAAAGACTGATGGGGGGGGACATATCTTCCAAGCAGTTTATTGTGTGAAAACTAGATCAGGACCACCATCCCAAAAGCTCTTTCACCAGCATACATGTCTGCTGCAGCAGATTGTGGCTGTGCCCGGTCCGATGCATGTCTCCAAGCACCCCTTGCTATAGTGCCAAATAACATTTGATATTTCTTCATGTTTTATAGTAACTGATTGCCAGAATGCAATTCAACTTATTTAGCAAGACACAGAAGAGTGAAAAACTTAGGACAATGATAATTTGGGGATATGAAACAAGGCATTTGTCATTTACTACCCTTACATTTCCATGACCCCAAATGGTAAGTAACTCTCAGAAGCTGTTAATACATTCCCCACTGCATGCACATTCTTAGTAACCATTTTAAATTTTACTTTTGTTTTTCAGATCATGTTGAAATATTGATATATCCTCTGATAATCTGCCAGTCATAACAAAACCCAAGCACAATTACCCTTTGGGCTTTTCCTAACAAAGTGTTTTTTTTCCTGCCTTAGACGGTGAGGTTTACCAATCTTTTCAGAAATTTCCTTGACACCTAAGTGATGTCCTATTTCCATGCCATTTTGTGCCTGCCAAAAGTCCTTGGGGGACCTCCAGATACAGCATTTGTTTTATTTCATAATATTTCCTTTTTGTTTCGCTAGGTATAAAAGCACACAGCATTTACTA